TGCGGACGACACAATCCGACGAAGTGGGGAAACACTGGGGAAACGTCATGCAGGAATACGGGGCTGAAGACAGGGGGGCGTGTCCAAGGTGCGCTGGTGCACGGGGGAGGTGTGGCCAAGGCGAACAATCCCAAAGAGTAATCCATAGAGTATCCAAAACACGAAGGTAAGTCCAAAACCAGGAGATCCATCAGAACACGAAGTTAAAACCATGAAGGCCGGGTCGGAACCGGCGGACAGGGAACGGGAACGGGAACGGAGGTTAACCCTTAACGGGACCAGGCGCTTCCAGGTCCCGGACTCGCACGATACGGAAACCAGATGCAGAGCCCGGATGAGCGTCAGCGCCTGGCTTTTAAGGTGGGCTGGGAATGGGAAACAGGTGCACAGAATAAAGTCTTGAGTGAAAGGGCTGGAGCACCCTTAAGGAGGGGGGACTATAATCGTGACACTAACAAAACTAGGGTTTCACTTACTTTTTCACATCCTCTCTACCTTAATTACTTAATGTTGAACTGATACATTTTGCCTCAAAAGACATGGAATTGGTTACTATAAACCCTGCTGGGTGTTTGCATAAAGGCTGGGTTTGACTCAGGAAGGCTATCATGGTAAAACTATCTTAATTTCCATATTTACCTTTGGGGATCACAAACTTTGCATGCAGGTGGGACCAGTAGCCTCTTTGTATTTCTGACCTTTCTTATGATCTGCTGTTTTCATACTGCACACGAGTTTTAGATCTTAATTTTTTTAGGCACTGCTATTTTGTGGGAACGACTCATGCAGAATGAAAAGATGGACATAAGAGAAACCAGTTTGGTTTTGTTCAAACAGCGGTTCCAACTTTTGCCTCTGCGTGTACAGGATAGGCGAAGGAAGATCTACTACAGCCCGGGGGCTTTTACTGAAAAAATCCTCTCTGAGCTGGCCAGGGCCCAAGGAACCTCACTGCCTCAGTGCTGGAACGAGAGAGAGTGGGGCGCTCAAAGCCAGCTTCTCTGTTTTTTAACCAAATTAAATGTGACAGGGGAAGATTTGCACAGGAGAGGTAGAAATTTACAGCAGGCCAGCAAAAGAGATGAAATCCTAGGGCATCTTGGACCATGTTGTGCCCTTAATTAAATAAAAACCAGGACATGCCTATTATCTTTTTGTATCTTTAAATTTTAAATGCTTTTCAGGTTCACTGATGCATTCCAGAACAAAAGATAACTTGTGTTTCCATTATAGAATTGTTCCACATGATTGTTCTCCAGGCTGTCTGATTGGCACAGAGTATTTCCAGGGGTCTGCACTGAGAACTGGAGAAGCCCATTAAGCCACGTTTCAGTGCCGAGGTTTAATGATGTGCAGACATTCTCTGCCTCAGACATCAGAGGGTATTTATTTATGAGCTCATCTAATGAACAATACATTAAAAGGCCTTGTAGCCCATCCGACGTTTGTATAAAAAGAAAAACAAACCCGAGCTGCCTTGTTACTTTGACACATCCCATGGAGCTGGGATTTGCGAGCAGAATATTAAGGGCAAGTTCATTGCAGGTCGCTCTTGTTAACCCTGCGAAGCCAGGTGGGGTCTGCCAGGCACACCGGTGCAGGAAGGCCACCTCATGCCTACCAACGAGTAATTCAAAGCAACCCTGATGTTCTGCATAGCCGCAGACAAAATAACACTTATGGTATAAATATCTTAATGATCATATAGGTGTCTCAGTGCACATACAAGTGAATATAGCTTGATACATACCTGTATACATAGACCGTCTTTCAGATGAGACGTTGAACCAAGGTCCTGACTCTCAGTGGTCATTAACGATCCCCGGGGATTTCTCAAGAAGAGTATGGAGTTATCCTGGTGTCGGAGCTAAATCTCCCCCCTTGGCCTTTATTGTGGCCTCCAAATTGTCCCCATGTGTGATTGGCTTGCACTTGTCTGGCGATGGACTGGTGCCTTGTCCAGGGTGTACCCTGCCTTGCGCTTGTTGCTTGCCGGGTAGGCTCCGGCTTCCCACGACACCGTACAGTATATAGCGGTTTGGTAAACGACATGACATATACATAGATACATATGCAGTATGATCATATAATTGCTGGTCAGCATTTCAAGGCAAATTCATGATATGGCCAAGTTATGGCATCTCAGGCATTAATAAAAGGAACTTTGAGCTGGGAGATACTGTGCTCAAGCTCAGGCTCATATACACTACAAACCAAGGACACATACACTAATCATCATCTGAATCTTGGAACAAGCTACTCACCAAGAGCTCCACCTCAACGTGCCCTTGCAGAATTATTACTGAGCTTTGCAAGATTGGGTTCAACCTGTTCAGCCTATACCTGGTGTCCAGAGGGTCCTCCTTCTGGTCCAGGCAAAATCCCGCACTTACGTGTCCATGTAACTTGGCTCCTATTACTTATGTGGTACAAAGGCTTCAGTATGAACATCCGAGTTTGGAAATCGAAAACACTGTGGAAATGCAGGAGCCATGTCTTGAAGACAGGCAAGGGTACAGGAAGGAGAACACCACATTCAAAAAAACTCAGCACCTTCTGACATCTGTGTTGCTTGTTGGAAAGTCCCATTGACGTCACAGGGACTTCCAACAAATAAATGTCACTAAAGAATACATTGATTGTCTAAAAATAATTTAGTAACTATTTAAAACTCCTTAGTTTCAAGCACATTATAGCAGAAGAAATTTGTAAATGCAGAAGTGGCCCATATTTCCTTTAACAAAAAAATTAAGGACTGAACTTCGGAGGAATGAAAATTATACTGGATACGAATCACTTACATTTGCAAACAAAATAGTGTCCCCACAACTTTCATATGGGATATCAGTACTAGGCTGATCAATCCTTTCATTTTTTAACCTTCCTCTTTGGAATTGCAGTTGGGTGCACTGCTAAGAAGTTTTTACTAGATTCAGGTCTTCCTATGAAGCTGCAATTAATGGTACAAAATAGATCAGTGTTGGTATGTGCTGCCAAAAACCAGATAATTGTGCAGTAATGACTCCAAATTGTCCAGCGATCCTCCCACCCTGCCAGCACACACAACAGAAAACCGCCGTTCTCCCATTACCTCAGAAAACAGTCGAAAGGTTGACATTTCCTTGACATTTCTAATGTGCCCGTCGCTGGTCATTAATCATCCTATTTTACATTTTGTGGAAAATGTCAATAGGATTTCTTCACAATAAAGACAAAAGATAAAAACATCATGACAGACTCTCGTGCCACTCAGATAAAGGATCTGTTGACATATATATTGTTACGTTTCTGTCATGAGACCGTTCAATACACTAAATACAGGACACTGTATTTGATACAAGCATCAGCCAAAAATATATAAAGCCACCCCAACCCCCGTGATCATAAATTAACACACATTAATAAAATGAAACACTACACGGTATCTCTGGCAGTGTAGATTACTTCAGGGTTTCTGCTCATAAATCTCAAGAAACATCCTCAGCTGAAGTGCCAAGATCATCGCGTCCCAACAGGTGACACACAGACCTCCACTCACCACAAAGAGAGGAGACCGTTTTGTCAAGATGAAAGTTCTTCTGGTCCTTTTGCAGGCTCCGAACCGCTGGGCACCACAGCTGCTGTCACGATTTGGAGACGAGGTACTTGCCGGGCTCCCTGCCGAGTTTTGCAGGGTCTTTCATCTGCGAATCCAGCGTGGCATCCCCACCTCCCTGCCGAGGGGGCCGGACGAGAGTGGGATCTGCTCGCCGGGCAGCGGTGCCCAGACCGCCGAGGGTGGGGAACGGACAGGAATTTCCAGTGCCTACTTCAGGGCAAACTTGACTGGATAGTTAAGCGACTTGCAGAGTCTAACAGAAAGCTTTTCTCTCAGCAGAGTGAAACTACATCAGCCAGAAAAAAATGTCTTCGTATCCTCTTACACATATAACGGGGCCATGTTTTATTACCGTTGCTATTTCCCCTCAATATGAGTGAAATGAAAATGCAGGGAACTCCTATTTATCTGCAAGTCCACAGATGATGGGCCCTAGTAGGACTGTTTACTGGGGGTGACAGAAAAGGGGTGGGGAATTTCCTTGAACAGATACAGTAAGTAAACTAGAGGGGTGCTGTCACTCAAGCACGCTTCAGATTAATGTTGGGAAAGTTAAAGAACTGGCTGCTTGTGACAGTAATGTGTAAGATTTTTAACAACTCTCCCTTAATAATCAGGATGCAGAGGTTGCTCAGTGTTTCAAATACTTAGGAACAGTAACAGATGAACATTTAAACGTTTTAGGGAGGGTTTATAAAATAGCAGGTTAGGGTTTGTAGATAGGATCCTTACTTTTGATATCATGGAATGATGGTATGGTATCTGTGGTATGGAAGCCTTAGTATTAAGGACAATGGGAAATCAGCCAGAATTAAGACTGCCAGTAAAATAATTGGTTGACCATAGAAACAGCTTATATTTAAATATACAAACAATATATCAAACATATAAACCATGTTTAAATTTAAAAAATCTCCCACCCTCTTCATTCCTATTTCCAACTGCAACCTTCAGGCAGGTGTTTTACAATGCTTGGGGCCAAGAGAAATCACCTAAATTTCTTAGGTTTCCCATTCCTGTGCTGACCAGGCCCAGCTTAGTTTCTGATTTTTGATAAGATCAGACTAGAAGGTAGAAGGGAGAAAAATCGACACCTTTTTTAAAAAAGCAAAGATATATTATGTGCGCAAGATGAATTATTAGAGTTGATATTCTCTCTTTTTCCTTTCTTTCTAAGCTTTTGACTGCTTTAGTGAATTCAGGGTCATGGGGGAGCCAGAGACTAGTCCAGCACGCAACAGACACATGGCATACTGCAAGTCCCCAAAGGGACAGTAATTACCTGTGTACAAAAGCCATCTGGTCATGACTCACTGTTCTCAGAGTGCCAGGGATCCAGCAATTCAGGGAGACTTCTATAAGGCCGTGTGAGTTAAGCACGAAGACTGCATTGTCACAGGACTCTTGAAAGATCAGTTTATTCAAATTTCAAATAGTACAAAGACTTCAGCGTATTTTGTATTAATGCTGATGGGGGAAAAAATATGCTATAAGCAACTTTCTTAATAAATATTTGACATATAAATGCAGGTTAAGACGGTGATTTGCACTTGAAAAAACATTTGACTTCAGAAAAATCATGTTTAAAAAAAACAATGATTTGATCACATCATTTTTTTAAATAAAAACTGAGTGATGCAAGATTAAATTTCAATGATAATTAAAACAAAATTCAAAACTAAACCACAAAAATGACTCATTCAGACGCTACAATTATTTTGACCAGCTTCAGCTGGGAACAGATGAGTGGATACAGCTCTGATTCTTTATCGTCCCTTGTAGCACAGTCACAGACAAGACAGTCACTTATTATCGCACATCCACAAGAATGTGGTGCACTATTGGTGCATTACACTGCAGGTGATAGAGGTCTACTCCAGAGATCTACGCTAGAAAGCCTAGAGTAGGTGACTAAAAGAAAATATTTACAGCTGGATGAAACATGTATCAAATCCTTTCCAGGCGATGGCCATTATGAAGTTTAGATGAAGCGCTATCTTTCTGACACTGCAGATCTCTACAAAAAGTTTTCTGGAGGTGAGGTATATGTACAGATTTAGTGCATCCAGTCACTGTGAACATGAATGCATTGGGGCATGACAGCAGTAAAGCTTTTCTACAGTGCTATATGCATCACATCTTGTACAGAAACCAACTATAATATCACTGATATAACTGAGAAACGTTTCTTCAAATAAGAGTGAAATATTCATGGAGTTCTGCTTGCACAGCCTTATCTAGGGAGACTTGTCTTCAGAGAGGAGAGCTCTCTGCACAGAATCAGTCTTTTACTGTATGTCGATATATAAAGGAATTTTCTGCAAACTGCTCAGAAAGAAGTTGTCATCCAGGGGAGGTACTCTGAACAGCAATAGCTCCAGAGTACTCGTCAATGGAGTAGTTCCTGTAGTATATGGTTTGTTGCATGCAGTAAAGACCGACTCTGCAGTGTTCACCGGTAATAGCAGTCAAAAGTCCAGCTGCAGGGAATTTTTATTTCGGGGAACAAACTATGATCCATCTATGACTTCAGTGATGTCCGTTAGCAGGTTGTTTCCTTAGGGAACTTGCGAGACCTTGAAAGCATCATGGTTGTGGTGTCTGGATCGTTCCACACGAGCAGAAGGGACTGTCTCTGGGTGCTGCCGACTTATGGTCATCAGGTCAGCAGATGAAGAAGATCTCCTCCAGAATCTGGCTCTCCTGCAGCTCCTCATCATGGGCCACTGGTGCAGGAGAGAGGTCCCATGGAGAGAGTGGAGGTCTGGGGCTGAGGAGGTATGGGCGCACTTGCGGGGTGGCGTGCGGTCTCCGTTGGACAGAATGTCTGAGCTGACCAGGTTTGGAAACCGGACTCAGAGCCCCCAGGAGCTCAATAAGAGATGAGTCAATGCTTTAGAAAGACAAAACAGAAGAGAATCAGTTTGCTGCCCAGCTTTCATGCTTCCCAGTGAGATTCCCAGTATCAAGTTATTCATAAACACAGCACTGCCAAGACATGCAAGGTAATCAGCATCTTTTGCTGCTTGTTAACGGAGGATACTGTTGCTTAGATTGTGCTCTACATCCTTGATCTCTTTGTCAGGGGAAGCAGCTGGTCATTAAATCCAGGTGACTTCATGCTAGTCTGTATTTTGATATCTATCATTTTGATAGATGACCAACAAATAGATTTAATGTAAAGATATTAAAACAGCATAAATTTAGTAAGGTGCAATGGATGTGCTCTGTCCAATTCCCGCAGGCTTTCAGAAATTAAATTAGAAAGCATGCAGGGTGAGTTCAGGCAAGGCAGGGCTGCCCTGACCTGTATTTGCATACAGAAACAGAATGGAAACACAACAGAAAGAGGAAACCGTAAATGTGATGACAGGCGAGACAGTTTTCTGAGCATTAATACAGAGAGATCAGTATGCGTGCAATCTTCTCAAAAACTTCAATATTTCAAGGAAGGAGAAAATCCACACAGTGTAACAGTCTGCCTAATGACTTTGAAGACTTAAGTTCCAAGGGCAGCCCTGCTCTTTAAGGACAGCAACTGCTTGCTGGTTGCCAACACAGTTTTCCATTTTGCAAGAGCAGGGAAAAAAATCAACAAACTACTTTTCACATACTATGTAAAATACTGGGAAGTCTTGAATTCCATATTTGTTTAAAAAATTGAAGTTATTGGTTTCAATGTCATGGCTGAGTAGCTTATTCCATACTCCCACAACTGTCCCACACTGTCCCGGTTTAAAAAGCACTTGCACATACTGTAGCTTACACTTGCATCCTCTGGTTTCTGCTTCACTGCTGACTCCGAAGATCACTGGGTTGACTGTCAATGACTTTAAGGTGTTTGAATATTAAATCAGGTCCCCTCAAAGCCTTAAGACTAAAAAGGCTTAGTTATTTTCACTTTTATCACTGTAGGACATGCCTTTGAGCAACAATATATTTTTTGTACAAATCTGGCCTGCCTGATGGCACAATATTTTCAATGAGGTCTTACAACTGCATTGTACAGTTTTAACATAATGTCCCTAAAGTTCTATGCTTTTAGTTACATATCCTCCTAACAATGTTTGCCTATATATTGATTTCCAACATTGTCAAGTGGTTGTGTAGACTGAATTAAACACCACCATCAGAACTGACCTGTTCAGTTGAATTCATACACTGCTGGGATTGGCTGCTTTTACTAGTACCCCTTATTTTGGCATCCTATGCAAGCTTGACTAGTTCAATAACAATACCAGAATCACAATCATGATTCTGGCACTGGACAAATTCGGAATAGCAATGGTCCTAATATAGGTTCCAATCAGATATGTAAAAGATGTAGTGCATCATGAAGATCTTTGTCCAGAAATAAAGAAGGATTTAAGCAGGACACACATGCAGGAGATACAGTGAGCAAACTTTAGTTTACATTGTATGCTCAAAAGGCTTCCCAGTGTGATGTTTTGCTGTAGATTGTGCAGCACCGAGTACTACAGTAGAATAGGTTTGAGACCACTTACCCTGTAAAATAGATAAACATTTTGGACCTTGATAATTATCTTGTACACAGATAAGCAGGCTTTAGATTTAAAATATCATCAGTCTGACGTAGCTAAAATAATTCTCTATTCATTTAAAAGAGCATAAATCTTTAAGGGGCTATGGAACTGTCCTTTAAACCCAAAACAAGGACTCATAATAATCTGTAATAATAAATGGTATTAATGTCTGGAGATCGCTGACTGATCAAATTGCACATGGTTTGGTCATATATACTTACCAGATCCAAGATGGTTAAACTAATGTCACAAATTATTGTAAAATTGCCATCAACTTCTCATATTTAAAAAAACTGGAAACGTAAATTAACTTATCCGTATAGCACTGCAAACTTTTTGAAAGTACAGAGGGACGTTTTCAAGTTCGGTACCAGAGCTCCATCACCATGAAGAGCACACAAGCTTACTGTAAATAGGCCTGTTCAGTCAGGAACTTGCAGACTTAAAGACAGAAGAAGCTAGGTAAAGAATTTCAGTATCAGTACTCCGTTTACAATAAAAGCTCTTGAACTAGGTCACATTCCTAAAAAAAAGACAAGCAGCTTTATAAGAGGGGAAGAATTTGACTTCAGAGCTTTGCCTTCAGCAGTCGATTGCGGCTCAGATGAAGACACCATGTTGGCATGAATCAAGCAGCTTTCATTACAGGAGATGGTTGCTTTCCAATACAAGAAGTTTTAATGAAATGATTCAACAGAAGATGATCCCATTTCTCTACTTGCCTTGCTTCGTTGGAAATTTGCTCTTAACCACATCTTGTGCACGTGTAATTATAATAGACATCACATCATGTGTGTACGTTCAGCAACTATAAATTGTGAACCACAAAAACTACTTTAAAAAGCAAAACTAAAAACGGGTATCTTCCAGAATGAACACCTGGCATTCTCGTGCCACCGAAAATCCAAAAGGTACGCGAGGTGCTAATGTAAGCAAGTAACTGTAGTAAGCAAGGCATCAAGAGACGAGCAGCATCATCAGAGGGGAGAAACGCAGAAAACTGGGGTCTCTAAGTTAATCTGTCTTATTCATTTGCTCTCCTTGCGCCTGTCAATATCTGTTAGGGGCTTTCATTCTGTGTTTGAGGCCCTGGTGAGGCTGCGCTGAAATGTGAGAATTTGCATTTTCATTTGTTGATTTATTTAGCGGACAGCCTCTCAAACAGCAATCCATCACCAGGTGACACGTCGAATATGAATAATGTATTTTATACCGCCGGTTACAATCTATAATAAGCAAGGGTGGTGGTGTGGTGGGAGTAGTGGGGGGGGGTGGGGGAGAAGGACTGCGTCAGAATGTTAATGGCCTCGCAGTGTAATATTTATCGAAAGGCTCGCCGGGCTTTATTGCTTTTTCAAGGTTCAACAGCAGTGGCCGTGGAACATTAATATCACTTAGGCCCCATCTCAATTCCACATCTCTCATATGTTCGGAATGAGCGCTCGGCCTGATGACAGGGGAGGGGCCAGACGGAGGCACTGGGGCGAGAAAGCTCCGAGACGGATGGCCACATGAGCTGTCAGCCCCCATTGAGAAAGGCAAGCAAAGCACACCCAGCACTGATATTGAATCCAAAGCAATGCAACTGGATGCAGACCCACGTTGTCGTGGAACGCATCTCTTGCCCCTTGGGTCTCTTAAACCTAGGACGATCACCTTGGAACAGGGACAAGCCACAGATTACTGCCTCCGATGCCCATGACTGCCACTAGTGTAATACTTGGTGCTTGGCATTTGTGTGAAACAGGAAGCAAGTCTTAGCCTCTGCCAGCAAACACTTGAACTCCGTCTAATTGCCCCACTGGATAAAATCTCAGCTTCATAGGACTGCTTTTCAAAAGGGCTGCAGTGAGAAGGCGTGGCCTTGTGAGCTAATCTCTTCTCTTTCACAGGTGACGTACAGACATGAATCTCTTAGCTGAAAGAAAAAAAAGAATTCAGAAGCTTTGTTAAGTATTGGTGCTTACAGTCAAACAAATATTCAGTTCACCCATCACCCAGCCTAACAGATGCTGATCAAATGACAAAATGTCAAAGAAAAATATGGCACACTACTTCCAGGCTCAGTCTAAATCTATAACCTCATGGCTACAGGAGACAATCTTGATCCCCAGCTGTTTATGAAGCATTTTAATGCTGCTCATGCTACAATCTGCTTCCTGCCTTCAGCTAGATACGTTAGTAATGAGAATCTTATTACAAACTACTTAACTTCACATCAATCATTAACCCCCATCTCCTGCTATCTCATCACCTGTGCTCACTATATTAAGGTGTGAGAGAGATTATTGAACGAGACTGCTTGTCAGTAACTACAGTCCCCTGTTGGCAGAAAATAAATATGCATAGAACATAAGAATGAATCTTGCAAACGAGAAGAGGCCATTTGGCCTTTATAGTTTGTTTGGTTTCTAGTATCAAAGTGTACTGCTAGTAGCAGTAGAACAAAGTGTACTGCTTTTAGTCTGATCATGTTTACATGATACAGTGGGTAAAGAAAGTCACCACCTCCTTTCAAAATGTTCACCTTTTGTTGCTAGAATTAGACTCTTCCCAGTTTAATTTACAAATTGTACCTTGCAACATCCAAATGCAAAAAGAAAGCATAATTTCTGAAAAAAAAAGTAGAACAACTGAGTTGGGTAAGAGAATACCTCCCTGAGTTAATACTTGGTGGAAGCACCTTTTGCTTGAATTACAGCCTTGAGTCTGTTTGGATACATCTCTACCAATTCTGCACACCTAGAGGGAGGAATACTTGCCCATTCCTCCTTACAGAATTGTTCAAGCTCAGTCAAGCTGCGTGGTGACCGTTGATGGACTGCCCTCTTCCAGCCATTCCAAAGATTTTCGATGGGATTGAGGTCGGGGCTTTGACTCGGCCACTTAAGGACATTCGCCTTCCTGTCCTTCAGCCACTGCACGGTTGCTTTGGCGGTGTGCTTTGAGTCACTGTCATGTTGAAAAGTGAACCATCTTCCCATTTTCAACTTTCTGGCTGAGGGCTGCGGGTTTTCTTCAAGAATTTGCCTGTATTTTGCACCATCCATCTTCCCTTCTATCCTGACAAGTGCACCAGTCCCAGCTGAAGACTGAACAGAAACACCCCCACAACAGGATGCGGCCACCACCGTGCTTTACTGTAGGAATGGTGTTCTTTGGATGGTAAGATGTATTGGGTATCATTTTGCATTCTGGCCAAGAAATTCAATTTTGGTCTCATCTGACCACAGCTCTTTTGCCACTTGGCCACAGAATCTTAAGGGTGCTTTTTAGCAAAACATCAACGAGACTTGATGTGGCTTTTTTTTAAGGAGTGGCTTTTTTCTTGCCACCCTCCCATACAGGC